TTTTCCCAACTTCTCTGCTTCTTTTACAGGGCTTTTGTGAGGTATTATGTGAACAGTCAGACTTGCTGATCTCCAGTAAAGTTATGAGACATTCTCACACAAAAACCTAGTTTTGATTTTGTTATATACGATGTTATGCACAGAGTGTCATCATTCAGTAATGAGACTGAAACAGCATTTAGCAGCTTGCTTCTGGAGGGAATTTGCCATTCCTGTTGACTGAGTGACAGCTGTCTCCTCCTACTGCAGCATGTGACTGTAACTTGATTCATGGAGTAGATGAATGAGTAAAAGGTCCTCTGGTTGTCTTGCTTGAGGATGTATTTGTGATCTAGGCCCTGAGGTGAAAGAAAAATCAGTGAGCGTTATCAGTATTTGATGAGACTACCTTATTAAGGAATGGTGAAAGTGTATTTCCATTTTGAAGCGTATTTCAACAAGCAGACGAATTTTACTGAATCCCCCCACTAACTTCTGAAAAATTACATGGATATTTAAGTACTTTCTTTGTATTTTAAGTGCTTGAATGAGAGTACAGCCACGACATAGACAGTGTTGCATAAAGCACATAAAGCTTTATATGTGGTTAAGTTGGACGTCTTGTATGCCATGCAGTGTAGCTTAGCTGTACAAGTTATATGAGACAAGGTAGGTTTTTCTCTCAGATCTTTCTTCTTTTTACCAGAAAGACACTTGTTTAGCACTTTGCCTTGAGCAGGGCTGGGAGAGCAATTTTAAGGTGGTGGGTTAAATGTTACTAAATTTATTGGTAGTTTTCTGAATGGAATGGTAGGAAGGTACTATGGAGGTGGCACTAGGCAAGACTTGGGAAACAAGTTCCTTAAAAAATGCAGACCGCTTGGATTAATTTCAAAATTGTTAAGCAAGAAATTAACATCAATTTGCGTTTTCATTTAACTTCCTACCAAAATTGTTTTTAATGGTTGGTGTGATTTTTCTGGTAATGGTTTGTTAATTAAAATCAATCCGCTAAAACAGGATCTCTTGCTGCTTCATCTCTTATCAAAGCTTGGAAGAGGTGTTTTGCTTAGAAGGGGTTCCTGATCCTCATGGAAAGGAGCTGCTGAGCTAGCTGCAACTGTCAGCATACTGCAATAATTAACCCTGTTTTCAGTCTACGCATTATGTTAAACTGGAAGCTGCTGGAGCAGAAAGTGCTTTGTGAGCTGTTGTCACCAGTGCAGCAGTGCTGCCTTTGCCAAAGCGCTCAGTGTGGGGGTGGAGAAGTGCCTGCTTTTCTGCCTCCCACCTGCATGGGGTGTGAGTCAAAATGCTTCAGTAAGTTTCTAAGTCCTTGTAGAGCACTTCGTGCCAGAAAAAAATACACAAGGCATTTTTGTTACTCTTTAATTGGTGTTAAGGTTCAAACTTCTGTGTTAAAAAGTCTTTGAAAGCTTATGATGTTCTTTTCTTAAGTGAAAGTCAAAATATATTGCTTGTTGATTTTTAATTAAAAAAAAATAAGAAAATCTGTAATGGATAGTATATTAGTAAATGAATGATTGCATCTCTTTACTTCTCCCAAGGTCTTTCAGACTTTTTTTGTGTACCGGGGGAAAAAAAGTCACCAATATGGCTTTCCAGCTGCTTTCTCTAGTTTTATTTATAAAGCTGAAAAAAATCTGGAAAGAACATCTTTGAATGAAGAGAATAGTCTGTCAAAACGCTCACTGAAGTGTTTCAAGCCTAGTCAATTTACTTTAGATGATTTGAAATTTACTTTACATGATTTGAAATGCACACTGCAGATTGTTGACCAGTTTAATAAGCTAAATCATGTTCATAGGTGTAACGTGAATCATAGAATCATAGGCATGGGCATCCACAACCTCCTTGGGCAATCTGTTCCAGTGCTTCACCACCTTCTGAGTGAAAAACTTCCTCCTAATATCTAAACTAATCCCCTCCTGTCTTAGTTTAAAACCATTCCCCCTTGTTCTATCACTATCGACCCTCATAAACAGCCATTCCCCCCTTCTGTTTATACACTCACTTCAAGTACTGGAAGGCCACAGTGAGGTCTCACTGCAGCTTTCTCTTCTCCAAGCTAAACAATCCCAGTTCCCTCACCCTTTCCTCATAGGAGAGGTGCTCCAGCCCTCTGATCATCTATAGTGCCCTCCTCTGGACCCGCTCCAAGATTCCACATCTTTCCTGTACTGGGGGCCCCAGGCCTGGACGCAGTACTGCAGATGGGGCCTCACAAGAGCCGAGTAGAGGAGAACAATCACCTCCCTCTCCCTGCTGGCCACCCCTTTTTTAATGCAGCCAGGTCACAGTTGGCCTTCCAGGCCCCAAGCACACACTGCTGGCTCATGTCCAGCTTCTTGTCTACCAGGACCCCAAGTCCTTCTCTGCAGGGCTGCTCTCAAGGGGATCTTCCCCCAGTTTGTGTAAATACCTGGGATTGCCCCGACCCACGCACCGCACCTTGCACTTGGCCTTGGTGAACCTCATTAGGTTCTCATGAGTCCACTTCTCCAGCCTGTCCAGACTGAAGTGTTTGGATACTTTAATACTTCCTTATGACAATTCCTTTCCAAGAAAATAATTGCCAACAGAGAGCAGGGTATAGTTTCATGGCTGTTTCTAGGCAGTTTTGAGCAAAACTTGCCTGCCTTTGAACACTGTGAACATCTCTTGCGTTATGCTGGCTGGACTGTCTGTGTACTCAGGTTTGAGGAGCTGATGGAATTTAAAACCTTTCCTTCCTGTGTTCACTGGCTGACTTCAGATGTATTCGTTTATGTGCCCGTTTGGTGCTTTTTTATGAAAGCAGTTGAACAGAAAAGAAAATGGAGAGAAAGAAGGTGCTTGCTCATGTGTTGAGGGCTGGGGCCTGTTTCAAAGGCTCTTCTGGAACTTAAAAGCATTATACAAGACAGGGCAAAATCTTGAAGTGGTATACAGAATATGGTAAATTTAAAATGTAAAAATGTTCTAAGGATAAGATTCAGAATAGTGCGGAAAGTAACTGTTCAAACATCAAGAACTTCAAGCTTCTAAGGGACTTGATAATGAAGGACATCCAGGTTGGACACTAGGCAAAAATTTTCTCAGCAAGAGGTGGTAGTGTGTTGGAGCAAGAAATGGTAGTGTGTTGGAGCAGACTGCATGGGGAGGTCACTGTTCTTGTGGAGATTTGACATAGAGGAACTTGTTTTAGGCTTGGTGGTGAAGTGTTAGTGGTTGGATGACATCATCTTAGAGGTCTTTTCCAACCTTAATGTTTCTATGAAATGGCAAATGAAATCTGATGTGAATACAGTACACAGAGGGAAGAGAAGAAGTTGCTATGGGCTGCCTTTTTGCAGTTAGAATGAATATCTGGAGTTTCCAATCAGTATCTGACATGTTTAATTCAGTGCCTCATTGCAGCATTGGGGGAAAAGGCTGCAAGTGTTATTCCTGGGAGAGACGAGAGAATAAAAAATGACCTGGGCTGAAGGCTTAGCTGCAGCTCCTTTGTTGTAAATTTGAACTTGGAATCTTCAGCTGTTGTCAGAAGTTGCAACAGGACTTGGGAGAAGCAATGCCACTGTTAAGTAGCTTTCATGTGAAAAGTGGCAGAATTCATGGGATTTTATTTGGCAAATAAGTCAGGGTGGGTCTAAAAATCACTACTGGGGCATAAAGGGAGAAGCTGGAGAATAATGAAGGGCATCAAATGAAATTAAGTGGTGCTGGTTGTGACACAAGCCTGAAATTTTGCTTAATGTATTAAACAAATCAAGGAAACTTGCATAATAAAATTCCATTAACATTGTGAAAGAAAAATGAATGATTATTCCTGTTTTATTTGAGTATTGTAAGTAAATAATGAACTTAAGAAGAAAGGCTTCCTGTCTCCTTGAAACTTCAGTGTCTCTAATGTCTGGCTATAAGTTTTCATTGAACTACATGGGACACTGGCTCATCTAGTTTTTTTGCTGGTCTGTGTTCAGTTGTTACTGCTGCTTATAATAACGTACCTGTGCTAGCCTCAGTGAGGTGAAACTTGTCTTTCAATAGACTTTATGCCATCTAGCTCCTTCATTTTCTTTTATATTCTTATCATAGTTATAGGTGCACTTTGTTTCCAAAGAGAAAATACGATTGGATATGGGATTGGTAACTCAGATTGTGCTTAGTAAGTATGAAGTTTCTTCCACCTGCCTTTTCTGGACCTATTTTATAATTCACTGTTGTTTTTTTTGTATATATTTTGCATGGGATGTGCTGCTTGGTTTGATTTTCGTGTCTGAAGAAAGATTAAAAGAACTCATGCTTTTCCTTGGATTTTTTTTTTTTTTTTTCCCTGACTGATTCTAATAGATGATAAACCTGTAGTTTCCATTAGTCATCTAACATATAGACATTATTCTTGTGCTGGAAACCTTGACAGCTATGTTCAGTAGTAAAGCACGGTGCTGTGTTGGATGTGCTTGAATTAGCATAGAACTTTGGGTAGCGCAGTGTTGGTTTTTTTCCCTCTTATGTATGTTTATGTTTGTTATATTATTCCAAGTAGCTAGCTGCTGAGCACCATGTTTACAGTAGACTGCAGCTTTCATTACCAAAGTAATAGGGTTGACTTGGGACCCTTTCAACTTCCTTGGAATTCTAGAGATCTGTCAGTGTTGTGAGTGATGAATGTTTTGCATATGCAATCCTGCATCAAATGTATTTGGTGAGGTCTGGTGACTTCATGAAGAGACTGGTAGCTGGAAGGCTTGTCTCCCCATCTCTGTTTACATTATTTAGTTTCACAGAGTATTTCTCTTAGATGTAAACTTGTCTCTTTTTCTCTCTGCATGTATTTGTAGAGGTACTACTTTTTACTAAAGCTGTTTAAGTCTGAAGACATGACCCAAGTTTTTAGTTACCTGAAGTTCTGGAGATTGCTAAATGAGTTATAGTTGTGAATCATTCATATTGGAAATAGCTGCTTTATCTGATTGTTATTTAGTTTACCTTTTCTCTTGGTTCTCTTGTTTTAGAGACTCTACAGCGGTGGGTAATTCACTGGTCCATAAGCGGTCTCCTTTACGTCGAAGTCATAAGGCATCAGCATCCTCACCCAAACTGTCGTTACGTGATGGACAGAAAGCCAAAAAGCCACTGTGTAAATTTGAAGAAGGTCAGGATGTCCTAGCTAGATGGTCAGATGGCTTGTTTTATCTTGGAACTATCAAAAAGGTAAACATTTGTTCAACTTCACTGCAGTTCTGTAGTATGGTATGTTGGTTGAGTCAGACCACGTTATTGTTCCACTTAGTTAAGATTAAATACGTTCTTTTACTTAGTCCTTTCTCATGGATTCCATTGTATTCATGTTTTCCAGATAAACAAACTGAAACAGAACTGCTTCATTATATTTGAGGACAGTTCCAAGTCTTGGGTTCTCTGGAAGGACATACAAACAGGCAAGAACTTCAGTGAAGTAGTCGTTGTTTGGTATTTTATCTGTTTAGATTACTATATCTGTTAAAATAAATTGTTGCATTGTATTCATTTTTCTAAAAGAGCAGTGTAGTTTAAAGTGATGCAGGATAATGCATTAGGCAAGTTAATACACAGTTTGTTTTTGAAAATTCTAGATCATTACAGTTACTTCTTTGTGTAACTGTAGCAGAGAAAACGCTTCTAAAAAGTAATTGCCTTTGTTTATTTTGGTGGTGGAGTGTAATGTGGTCTCAACAGAAATCTCACAGAACCTCATTTGCATTGAATTTGTTATGTTTTCAGTTGAAACAGCATAGCACAGAAAGAAAGCAAAGATTTGAAAGTGCTGAGTTTAAATGGAATTATCATATTTGAAATTAGCACCATTATTGTGTAACAGAAACCATTACAGGTTTGGAGGTATTCATGTACTTTAAAGAAATGCTCATCAAGTGAGATGTCTGTTTTCTATTAACTTTAATTTTTCAGATGTTTGGAGGAGTAGCAATTATTACAATAACCTAATGCTAACAAAGTGTTATGACAATTTCAGTGACAATTTCAGGTTTTGTCTGAAAATCAGTGGAAACTTGTTTGTCAGATAAAAGTCATGGAAGTAATGGAAGCTCCTTCTGATTCTTGATGTTTAAACAGACATTCTGATTTTTAATGAGAAAAGCTTTGTGTTCATAATAAGAAAAAACCAAATGCTTCATTTCTGATAACTTAAAATACTGCTGTTTGTTCTCTTGCTGTGCACTAATGGTCACTAATACATTTATGGTAAGCTGAACGTTAGTGCACAAGTATGATAGCACATAGACTGAATAACTTGTTTTAATCTAGATTGTTATACTGATATGTGGTGTCACTGAAGCAAAATTAGCTTTCCTTTCCAGTAATTTTTTTTTTTACTGGGCAAACCTATAAAAAAAAGCATGCACGAAGTTGTGCATATTATGCATTGAAAAAGGAGAACAAGCTGCTGCAATGCCAAACTCTTATCAATTTTTTTTCTATCAATTGCCCAGATAGGATTTGTTGATTTTTCAGTCTACATTTGCGTTCCTTATTCACGGTTAATTTTTATTGTTGTTAAGGAACCATGGAATGTATAGTAAATAGACAACATGTAACCTATATGAATCTGGTGACCTGTCAAATGATATAAATGCTTATAAGTCCATTCAAAGTGTCTGAGTTTATTTTTTGTTCGAGTGTTAGGCTCTGGAAAAATCTCTATCTACAATGAGTGGATCTGTAACTCATTTATAAAAACAAATCGTCTGCATGGTAATGGATCCAACTGCACTGATGACAAAAAAAAACAAAACCAACACACTTCTGTCTTTCTCTAGGAGCCACTGAAAGTGGGGAAATGGTCTGTACAATATGTCAGGAGGAGTATTCAGAAGCACCGAATGAAATGGTTATATGTGATAAATGTGGGCAAGGTAAATAGATTTTTTCCTATTTCCTGCATTTTAAAAGATCTTTAATGTCTTTTCTGAAGGAAGATGTTGACACGGCTGCCGCTGACTGCGAGGCTGATGTTGCACTTCATAGCTCTTAGCGGCTATTAATAGGTCAGCGAATAATGGCAGTCCGTGTGACTATCGTCTATTCCCTATGGACAGTGAGTTGTTTTACAAAGATGATTTAAAAGATCATTTTGTTACTAATCTTTTTGATCAGGTGTTTGGTACTTGGTCAAGGATAATGCGTTGTAGTTGCCTTAAAATTATCTAGAGTTACTTTTCCTTAAGGTTTTCTTTTGCCATTTTTATAACACCTTGGTTAATTATTTCTAATACAGGTTATCATCAGCTGTGTCACACACCAAATATTGATTCCAGCGTGATAGATTCAGATGATAAATGGCTCTGTCGACAGTGTGTTTTTGCGACAACAACAAAGGTGTGTTACTTGAAGTAGCACCTGATACATATTACCTACATAATTGTTTCAAATTAAAATCACAAATTCCTCTTCTTAATTTGATGTGAATGGGAAAGTTGTGTATTTTGGAGATAAATATTAATTTTAGAAATAGATGACATTTGTCTTTGAATTAGCTTTTAAGTAAATATGCTAGCATACTAAAGCATAAGTACGGACGAGAGCATTTAGTTGGATTATATGGAAATTTTGGTAAGTGTAAAATTAAAGTATTTGAAAGTTTAAGGAATGTGTTGTTACTTTTGTAAACCAGTGTATTTGTTTCAAACAGAGAGGTGGTGCGCTTAAGAAAGGACCAAATGCCAAAGCACTGCAAGTCATGAAACAGACTTTACCATATAATGCAACAGACCTTGAGTGGGATGCGGGTCATAAAACCAACGTCCAGCAGTGTTACTGCTATTGTGGAGGACCTGGAGAGTAAGTAAAGTGATGATCTGTGTCAACTTTTCTCCATAAGACACCTGACACCTGCAAACCTGGATTCTGGTCCTGAAGACAAGCACTTTTGAAGATCTTTGAATGTTTTTAGAAAGGCGTGCTTATGAAATATTGCCTGTTAATTTAAGTTTCTATAGATATAAACAGTGACACTCTGAAAAAGAAATGGGAGTATTTTGTTGCTGTGTTATCGTTTAGATTTGCACAGATACTTCACTGTTTGTTCATGTGAATAAAATTATGTTGAGTTGCTCCCTTGTGTTTGAGTCAGGCTTAACATTAAGGATAATGTGAGATATAACGTTACAGAACAGACAGGATTCTGCCTTATACTGTAATTATTATGAGGGTAGGAGGAAAAAAGGTTTTCTTTCTTATGAGGAACAAGGACATCCAAATAGGTGGAGCTTGAATACTCTGTATGAGTGAGTGGACGAGTAAAGTAGCACTGAGAGTTTGAAGTCAGGGCAACTCAGAGTCATACAAGAAAGCAAAGTATTAAAACTTCTACTTAATTTATTCCTAGTCATTCTTTACTAGTAATTGTTCACTGTAGAACTAACTGATGTTGAAATTTTCTTTCAAATAACAGTGAAAGTTACTTTGTGTCAGAAGATCCATTGCTATTTAATCTAAATATAATGAAGAGCCATTTTGAGTAACTTACAGTGCATCTTGTTTTTCTTTCTGTTGGTGAAGCTGGTATCTAAAGATGTTGCAGTGCTGCAAATGTAAGCAGTGGTTCCACGAGGCTTGTGTGCAGTGTCTCCAAAAGCCAATGCTTTTTGGTGACAGGTAAGAACACTTGTGCTGTGCTTCATTGTTGTTTTCATTTTAATTAGGAAGAAGTACCTCATAGATGAACTTTTAATAAAGCGTGTGTAGTACTCAAGTGTTTTTCAAAAACATTGTGGTGAGTTTAGCATAGAAAATTACAGAAAACAAAATGTGTTCAAGTACCAGGGGGGTGCTTTTTGTCATCTCTTTAAACAGAGTTGTTGAACAGCCTTCAAACAAAAGAGAAAAAGAAAATTAGGGTGAAGTAATCAATGGATAGCTGATTTCAAACTTTTATTGTTATTGACTTAACTGTTTGTGGAGGTTCTTTATGCCATAGGCTACTAGGGAATCAAAAGTGTTAAAGCAGAACACCATAGTGGGCTTATAATAAAGATAAGGGTTTTCTAGATCTCACCATGTAGTACATTAGTAACAGCACTTTTTGAGTGAGCACTTTGTGCTTTGAAGTAGGCAGTTGGTATGTATGTGCCAAAGAGAAGATCTAGCAACTGTGTGAAAATGTGCCCTTAGCGGAACGTGGTAGATTAAATGTTTTCCTGCTTGTTCCATTCCTTGTAGCTCATCAGTGCTTCTGTTTCCATCTGACTCATCTAGGTCCCACTAACTGTTTTCCTGCTCACTTGGAACTACTAGTAGAGGGAACTGGAGAATCAGGAGGGATAGTCAGATGACAACTCCGTATATTCTGTGTTCATGTGTGACGAGTGAAGCAAAAAGGAAATGAGAAAGGGCATTGGTCTGTGCTTTTGTTTTAGGAAGAGCTTGGAGTAGTTGAAGCGAACGAGAGAGAACACTGGATTAAAGAATCAAGGAGTGTATAATTTGTGATCTGTTGTGGTTTCGTTTCACCCTTTGTTGTGCTGAATGTTTGTATGAAGAAATTAATATCTAGAAAGTGCTCTTTTAGAGGCATACTTGCTTAGGCTTCTAAATTTGAATGAAAGGAATAGGGACACTGGGGAGCACAGTCACTAGTCAGGGAAGAAAAGAAGGAAGATGTGGAATGTAAAACTTATGAAGTAGAGACCACTACTGGGTCAGATATAAGACAGTACACAGGAAATTGATAGCAGGTGAAGGGACTCAAATGTCATGTGGCTGGGTTTCTGGCGTACTTGATTTTTCATTTTTCCCCAGTACATCCTTGAAAAAAAAAAAAAAAAAAAATCCCATGAAGAGTCCTTTTTGGAATTATGAGGTGACAGTTTGTAATAAGTAGCATGTTAAAACATCTTGTATGTATGTATATGTGTGTACAGACACCCACCACCTAGTCATGCAGACATATATATGTGTATATTTTTTTTTTTAGGTTTTATACATTCATTTGCTCAGTTTGCAGTTCTGGACCAGAATACCTCAAACGTTTACCCTTGAGATGGTAAGTGCAATTAAAGTAAATAATTGAACATATGTGCTGCTTTTCTTTTTGGTATTTTGATTTGCCTTGTTAAAAAGGAAATTCACATGCTGTCTTTCATCATTTCCTGAGTTCTTGTATAAACGGGCAGTTTTTCTTTCAAAGTTTATTCATAAATGCACGTTTCTTTGCACTTGAGTTCTCTTCAGATTTATTCCTAGAATCGTTCAGTAAAGCTGCACCTATTGTCTATTTGAAGGTACCTAAGCAGAATTCCTTTATTTAGGCTTTGTCTCACTGTTAAACTAAGTGAAATGTGTTAAGTATAAAAGTAAACAGCTTGACATGTGTTGTAGTGGTTTACTTGATGAAATTCTGTGTTGCAGTTTGAAGTACTTCAACTGTAGCTTGTATTAAAAATAATACCAACTTAATGGATGTATGTGCTGACAAGTGTAAGGTAAAAATTACCTTGCTAAATTTTAGTTCACCGGAATTCTTAGATGAATTCAGAATTGTTTTGGATTTTAAAGAAGCGTAATGAGAATGTGGGGTGAGGCAGACATGCATGTATGATACAAAGCAGCAGCAGCCACATTAGGTAGAGAAATGATAGAAGATAACATAATGTTTCCTGGTTTGAGTGTTCTGTGTTGTGCTTTATTTGTCTAACTATGTTATGCTAATCCTTTTAAAGAAATTATGTCAAAGAAAAGCAGTTGGGGATTTTTTGGTGATTCTATATATTTCTGAATTCTAGGGTAGATATAGCACATCTATGCCTTTACAACCTAAGTGTTATTCATAAGAAGAAATACTTTGATTCGGAGCTTGAACTCATGGCATACATAAATGAAAACTGGGATAGATTACATCCTGGTGAGGTAAGTAGTTGGAATGTTCTTTCTTCCTCACCTTTCACTGTGCACGTGTCAGGGACCTATGAACTCTTCTATGTAAGATATTAAATTGATTATCTTAACATCTGGTAACTCCAAATGATAGAGATCATCTTCAGTTTCCTTGCAGAATTAAAATATTTAAGTTGTGTATATTTTTCTGAGCTGTAAAACTTCATTTTATTGTTCGCATGGCAACTTTTAACTCAACTGTTGATTCTGTAGTGTATTTTGTTTTTATTTTTTAATTGTCTCATGCTTGAATATTTTCATGGGTACAGACAAGTAAACCTATGCCTATAACTGAATGCAGAGTGTATTTAGGATGAAAATATCAAGGTCTCTAAGGTGTAATACCTAACAAATCACTGTACGCAAACATTTCCTCTTTCTTCCCTGTTCCAAGCGTGAGTGTGAGCAGTTTGTATATTGGTCTTAAAGATTTTTTTTCCAACCATGTGGGCTTTATCAGGAAAGTATATAGAAAATCCATTTCCCCAAGCAAATTGAGTTCATGTTTAATGTAGAGGAATGATGTAGGTAGTCTTTTGGTTCGGTGTTTAAGGCTGAATGCAAAAATTTCTGTTGAAGTGACATTGATGTACTGCAGGTGGAGTGTGTGCTTCTTTCTTGCGTAAGTGTTCAAGGTTTTGAAACTTCTATACATAGGTGGCATTTGAATAGTTGGAACTTCTCCTAACGTATTTCCTACTTCTATATTTATTTTCAGTAAATTAATCCACTCGTTCTGGCAGATACAACATGAGAATGAAATGTGGTCTTGGTGTAGATGATTGACACGCACTATTACTTTTGTTAAATACTGAAAATTTTTTACGATACATATGTTCAGATCGTGAGTGGTGTACATGGAAAAACCCACAAATATTTATTTGTGGGTATTTAAGGTGGGAGGAGAGGAAAAGCCCAAAATGAGAAAGCATGCCTGCCTAAGTGGTAACAGAAATTCCTTAAGGTATTTCTGTACCTCAAGGAAACTGCTTTTTTTCCCCAATCAGGCTACTTGGTTTTTTTTTGTTTTTTTTTGTTTGTTTTTTAAAGGGCTATATTTTGAGTAAGCAAATAAATGCTGTGTTGAGGAAATATTCAAGGTTGTTTATTCTGATAAGTTTCTAAATGTCTCTCATGACACGGGGGAAAGCTGTGTCTTAAAAAAATAAAGGCAAGTATATTTTAGGTTTTCTGATAACCTGTCTTTGAACAGAAACTAGTCAGAGAATAACATACAATACTAATAGTTTGAGTTTTCTGGTAGTATTCTTCACTTGCTGCTATGAGGCATGGTACATCTTTCTCTAGATGGTTAGAACTGACTAAGTATTGATAGAATTGAATTAGTAAGATAGGAGTAAATGGTGGCATTATTAGAGTTCTTAAGCACATATATTTTTATCATGTTGCCATTTGTGATGCAAAAAAAAAAAATTGTAGTTTTCTGTAGCTGTGTGCTGAAGAATTGCAAAACTTAAGGATAGTAATGGATTGTGTGGAAATATATGAAAAGATACCTTAGAACAGCTGTCACTTCACAAAAGTTGGTCAGATTTCTCTTAACTTTGGCAGTCAAATGGTTTTACTGAATCTTGCAATGTTAAAAGCAGAGCTCTTTTTTGAGTATGTATTGAGATTTCAGAAATTGTTAAATGTGTTAGCTTTCTTGTTTAATGAGAGTTGTATTATTTACAAGTGTCTGAGGGCTTTCTCTTGAGCTGCAGTTGTACAGTTTGCTCTGTGGTATCCTTACTAATATTTGTGCTTTGTGAGCTGTTGGCCAGCTCTATAATTAAAGATCAGTTGACTGCAGATCCAACCGGGTATAAATTCTGGAGCATTTTTGCATAGCAACTGGAAATATGGCAGCAACGCTACCATATTTAAAAATACTCTAAATTCTAATGTATAAATGTTGCATCCACCTCTTGAAAGTCATCAATGCAGACAGAAATGGGAATTAAGCCTTTGAGCGAGATTTAATTAAAGCAATCACCAATAAAATAACTGAGGTTCTTGTACTCTTCTTGCGGTCTCTTATTTTGGGTGTGCTTAATGCTACTGAGGTACTCATGTTAGTGATCCTGGGAAGGCAGACTACTATCCTTGTATACTGAAACAATTTGAAATGATTTTCTTGTACTACTTAAACAGAAAACCTAGATTCTTTGACCAGGGCTTGTCCCTAATGTAAATTCTGTGAATGTGAATCACAGAACATGAGGATCTAAAAAACAAAAAACAAAAAAACAAAACCTAAATGACTAACACCTTTTAAGGGTTAGGTAGTTTCTACAGGTAATTTTTTTTTTTTTTAAATGTACTTCACATCCAAATTGATAGTTTTAATGACTCAGAGTCGTTAATAATAATAATTGGAAGCTTTCTATTACTGAAGAATTAGACTGGCTAAATAATTTCTTAATTCTCCACAGCTGGCAGATACACCAAAATCTGAAAGATATGAGCATGTACTGGAGGCATTAAATGATTACAAGACCATGTAAGTTTTTGGTATTTTTACTCTAAATACTTCCAGCTTTGTCATTCGTGGCTGTCAGTCTCCTTTGCTCTGTTTATCTGATAATCACTGTAGCTGTGTTAACGTTGATGTTTTGAATACTGTTTCTGTTTCAGAGTATAACACCCCATACCTATTTGAGTGGATCCCAGATCATGAGAAAAATTGTTTTAATTTTAATTTTTTAATTGATTGAGGATTGTGTTAGCGGGAAAAGGTGAATAAAATAGCATTAGGATGAGTATTTTAATTTGCATAGATTTGTTTTGCAAGAACATTTTATTTTAAAAGCTGCTTTCCCTGGATTCAGAATGTTAACAATGAATTTAAAATCATCTAGGTTTATGTCTGGAAAAGAAATAAAGAAAAAGAAGCATTTGTTTGGCTTGAGAATTCGCGTTCCTCCTGTGCCACCAAATGCTGCTTTAAAGGCTGAGAAAGAACCAGAAGGAACTTCTCATGAGTTCAAAATTAAAGGCAGAAAATCATCTAAACCAATCCCTGATGTGAGGTAAAATAATCCCATGCTTTTTTAGAAATGTTGTGGTAAATAGGAACTACTTCAAGTACTTCAGTGCTCATTGTATAATGTCCATTTCTAAATAACTGTAAAGGTGGTTTGTTTGTATGTTTTAAAGATACTTTAAAGTTGTAAACTGATGTAGTTGCATGTTCTCTTTAAAGGTGATTGTGAGAGCAGAGTCTTCAAGCTTATTAGTTTCCTATTGTGAGCCTTTGAAAAACAAAAGACAAACCAAAACAAGCATCATGACATTTGGCAGTAAGAACAATACAGGCTGTCCGAACCTCGCTGCCGTGGGGGGTGGGGGGGATATTTCCTTTCTGGAGCTTTTATGCTGTTAACAAGGTTTCTAAATAGGGAATATGATACACAGTTCTGGCTTGTGGTAGTAGATGTGCTGTTTCTTTAACCAACGCTTGTTCATTCCTCTTCAACGTTAAGGAATCGGTAATGTCAGTAGAAACAACTTTATCTGTGTGATATTATACAGGCAAATTATTTAGCTTTTACATGACAGCTTCGATTTGCCAGGATCTCGTTTAGCACAATGTGTATTCATTGCCAAAGGAAAGCATTTATTCTTTGAAAACTATCTTCAATAATTTTCTTCAATAAGAAAAAAATATAAATTTTCTTCTAGGGAATTAAGTAATGGTATAGAAAGAAAGGGGAAAAAAAAATCAGTAGGTCGTCCACCTGGTCCCTATACAAGAAAAATGATTCACAAAACTCCAGAGTCGTCTCCTCTGGTAAGGTTTTGGATATGTTTCTTTTATTTTCTCTTACCGGATTATCATTTTTGAAGAAAAATATAATCAGTTAATCTAAATTGTGATATTCCTCTCCCCATTTGCCCTTAAACTAAGCTGAATAAGCAATTAAAACTTAAACTGAAGTACTCTTCCTTTTTTCTTAGGATACTGAACCAGTTCCAGTGATAGAGACCCCAGCATTGGAATTACCCTGCTCTGTTGGGTAAATTAAAAACAAACAAACAAAAAAGCTTAAGCTATTTTAATATAGCATGTCATTTATTTGTTTGCTTCTGAAATGTCAACTCAATTTTTACTATAAGATTACTTTCATTACATGGCAACCCTGTTATCTTACATATCAGGAAATCCGATGGAACTGCACATTCATCCAATACCTCAGATGTGGAATCCACAGGTGCTGCCAGTATAAAAGAAACTACCTCATCTAGCATATCCAGACATTATAGGTAACATTTGAATTACTCTATCTACTGTATTGATTAAGGGTTTAATATGTTAATTTTCACAAGGTTATTGAAGGGGAGACACAGAGCAAGTAGTTCAGCAGTACTTTACCTGCAATAAACAGAAGTTACAGAAATTGTACAGGAATTACAGGAATGACTTCTGATGTTCTATGCCTACTTTCCAAAAACCTGAGGGTTGTGTTAAGCTAAAAAATGTGAGTTTGGTGCCTTTTGGCAAACTTCAGCTAAATTTGAGCCAGGTACTTCCAGAGAGATTGTATTTCAACAAGCTTTAAGAAGATCATGAGAGAGACTTAAAACAGCAACTCTTTAAAAGAAGAAAAGAAAGATGAAACAAAAAGGCAGTTTTGCAATCATCTGCAGTCCAGTCACTGCCAGTGATGTGCGATGGTTTGTTTTTTTTATTTGTTCTTCATTGAAGCTTTGGCAAAGCAAAGATAGAAGATAAGGAGACTGATGCAAGTTGTGAGGCAACTGTAGTAGATATGAAACAGAGATAGGAGTATTCCAGAATTTGAAGGAGAGTAGACAAGTAGATATGGAATATCTGAGAATGTGGGAATTTGCTGGTAATTGTTATAGCTAGCTACTGAGATGTGAAGTAGAGCTGTGAATTGAGTGGGAATCTAATGGAATAGAACAGAAGAAAATAATTTCTTCACAGCATGGGTGCTAACTATTGTTCATTGTTAATGTAAAATGCACACTTAAGTTACTTTTACAGGAGACAAGTAAACTCCTTAAACGCTTACCGAGTTCACCTTTCTAACGAAGGTCACAGAAGAGCAGACATGTTTTGTTTTGTTTGGTTTTGTTTGTATACTAATCTTAAGGAATAGTGAGTATGCTGTAGATTTTAGTCTAAAAGTTTGACTCAGTCTTCATAAATAATTATAATCCACCTTTATGCAAAGGGGTGGTGACCCTTTGTATTAAAAAACAAACAAAAACAAAAACAAAAACAAAACAAAAAAAAAAAACCAACCCAAAAAGCAACTTCTGCAGATAGTCCTTAATTATAGTCTTCACCAACATAAGATTCCAAACTTTTACAGTTCAGCTTTTTTTGTAATAGGGGCCTACTGATATGATAAAGCTGCATTTTTAATTTACTATTCAAGGCACTTTTGGGGCAGAATCTGTTAAAAAATTTTTTTTTGAAGTTTGCAGAAGATTAGAATTCATCTGAATCAGAACAGTACTCTAAAGATACTTAGGCATAATCTAGTGTCATTTAACCAAATTTTCTGATATGGGTTAACTTGCACAGTTTTTGTTATGTAAGTCTCTTTTGCAAGTGCCATATTAATCATTTATATACAGGTAACAAGTATTGAAACTGAAAACTAGAACAACAGTTGTGAATTGAGTTTTGTTTTACCATTTCCGTTCATCTTGAGTGTTTCCTGGAGTTAATGCTTGTGTTTATTTTTTTAGTAGTTTATCTGATTCAAGAAAAAGGACTCGTACAGGAAGAACTTGGCCTGCTGCAATACCACATTTGAGAAGAAGAGGTCGCTTTCCACGAAAAGCACTCCAGACTCAAAACTCAGAAATTGTAAAAGATGACGAGAGCAAGGAAGATTACCAGTATGATGAACTCAATACGGAGATACTTAACAATTTAGCAGATCAGGAGTTACAGCTCAATCATCTAAAGAACTCTATTACCAGTTATTTTGGTGCAGCAGGTAGAATAGCTTGTGGTGAAAAATACCGTGTTTTGGCTCGTCGGGTGACACTTGATGGAAAGGTGCAGTATCTTGTGGAGTGGGAAGGAGCAACTGCATCCTGACTGTAGGACTGAATATTATGTTCACTGCACTGTCATCTGTAAGTACAGTTCATAATGCAGAGCCATGAGAGAAGTGTGTCTTTAAATGTTTCTAAAAACAAAACAAAACCAATTTAGCCTTAACGTGTAATTGTTATCATTACAGCTCTTGTGATAAAAGACTTATCTTTTTAAAATCTGATCTGAAACTTAAATTTTTTAATCTGAACACTGTTAGATTGTTTTAGGTTGGGATATTTTGGGTTACAATTGCTTAAAAATGTGCATGGTGTTTTAAAAAAAGATGTTTTCTAGAGAACATTCCATGGATACAGTTATTGTGATTTAGAGAAATATTATGTAGATAGCACAAATCTTTGAAATTTTTTGGTTTGTTTTCTTACCCAAATGTTTGCAGAAATGTATTTCTATTTCAATACTTTCTAGATTTCATAAGTGCAGTGTATATAATGCCTACTGAAGACTGTAAAATACTAAAGTTTTCTTTCAAACAAAGTGTAAAAACAAAAAAAAAAAAAAAAAAAAAAAAGGAAAAATATATTGAGCCTGTAAATTGCTCTGTGACCAGACTTCATTGTCTTCTTAATATATTCTGTGTGTGTGCGCATGTGTTTGTATATATACATATGTATATATGCACACACATACACGTGTGTGTATATATATGTGTGATTGTGACCTATGCAATACAAATTATGGGATTGGACAGCTTCTGAGTATGCATCCCATAATTCTTTTTTCAGGAATAGTTGCCAGTATTTACACAGCAGCATTTCTTCTCAGGCTTATTGGGTGCTGTTTTGCTTTCTGTGTACTAAGGAAAATGTCAAACCAGTGCATTGTGTTCTGGCAATGGGTGCAGTCATTGATGTTCATATGCCTTGGGGTAATATATTCCTTAATTTTCCATGTGACTGAACAGTTTTTAAAAAAAAAAAAAAAAAGCGCAGGATTAGAACGTTAACGACTAGAAATAACAATTTTAAAGCTATTTTGGCACATTGATTGTAAATTGTGTCCCAGTTATAAACTGAGTTGATGGGAGTTGCACAAGATTCATGCATATGTGTAGAAAGTCATATTTCGATAAAGGTAGTATGAGCAAACTATTATTGCACAGGGTCAACAAAAAATATGTTGCCATTTGAAGTTAACATTACTCGTTTTAATACAATATTACCTCTTTTTGTTTTTATAAGATGTACCAACTTCTAAGTTGATATGTTCATTTTGGTTTTTAATCGAAAATGTCTCCTGCCAGTATTACATGTTCTTTCTGATAACTTTCGAGGGAGGATAGCCAAAGAGTGGACGGAGGAAGAATATTTTTACGCTATGGTTATTCAGTGTACAGCATAAACCTTCTTCTCTTAAGATGACAGTTGACCACCAAAATAAAATTAAATAACGTAAATGACAGAGTGGTTTAAAGGTTACTACCTGAGTTAGTATTTTCCTATCACGTTACTTATTGGACTCCTCTTTTTTTTTTTTTTTTTTTTTTTTCTGCTCTCCTTGACATGGTGATTTTTTATTTTATTTTTTTGTCGCCTTATAGCCAAGGGAAGCTCTTAATCCTGTGCTTGGTTTATGACTGGCTGGGTAATACTAGCTTTATAAAATTGCTGACTAAAAGCTGCCACCTCTGTTTATCTTCACTGAAATGTTGGTTTTTTTCCCCTCATACCCTCAGCTATTAATTTAATGTTGCCTTGCCTGTAGCTGCAATATTTTGATAACACGACATCTTTCATGTTAATTTTTTGAATGTTTATACATTGGGATAATGCAAAATGTAAAGCCTTCGTAACCTTACTCACACCATCTGTATTTGTCTATTTCACTTTATTCAAGTCCTTTAATTCTAACTGAACACCAGCAGTATTTTCAGTAAAGCTTCAGCATTTGAAGATAAATATTGGAATGTACTTGGGGACTTCAGCTGGGGGTGCGGGGAGGGGAATATTTGTCAAACTGTCCATAGACTTAATATTGTGAATGTCATTGTTTCATTTTGTTATTATGGTTGAATTGACTCTGATGTTCAGTTTGTAATTTTGGAATTGCTTTTTTCTTAGAATTAAAGTCCAACTTTAAATGTGTGGGGGTTTTTTTTGTTTGTTTTTTGAGAGAAGAATGAGTTTTGAGTCTGTATTCTCGTGCAATACATACATGTGATTTCCTCCTGTCCATGGTTCCTCTGCTCTGGCTTGCCTGTTGCTCTCCTAGAAATTCTTGCCCTGCGCATAGATACTAACTGGTCTTCCAGCTGCACCTGAGAGATGCTTTGTTGCAAGGTGTTATGAACTGGAAAATGCTGCAGTGGTGCTGCTGAAGCTATTACTAGAGTAGTACAAATGGCTTTCTCTCATTTCGTGAATCTTATTGTATGTAATAATGGAGTGGAAAAATACAAATGTTGCTGTATGTAATAATTTTCTTTTAGTTTAACTTGATCATTTTATGTATGCATGTGTGTAAATATATGTAACTCAGCTTTGTTGCAGTCACTGATTTAGAACCTTTCCCTTGTGTACCAAATATGATATTTTTTCCACTTTATATTATTTGTATTACTGTAATATTTAGATAGGAGAACTCTGTTTTGAGGCCATCCTAAAAAATGTAGGCATCAGATAAACAAGAAAACAAAGAAATAATGACACATTGCTGGTCCAAACTGAAATAAACATCATAGCAAACTATTTGTCAAATCCTTGTTCAGAAAAGAAAATTGAAAAGGCACTTTTGTTTGTCTTTGCCATGAAGAGGAATTTTCTGTGCTTTTCCATTTATAGCAGGCGTTTTGTATGAGCTTACTAGGAAATTTTGTAAGGTCGTTCAGTGAGATAAGGTCAATGTTCATGTTTTAGTACGAGAAATCCAAATGAGATCTCAAAGGTGAAGAAAAGCAGTTTATTGTCTTGCAAGGAGGAAAGATGAGTAGATCAATAGAAAAGTGCCAAGCTTCTGAAACGTCTTACTGAAGTGATCTTTAGTGTTGTATTTTAAAAGGAAATTGGTCTTCAGATGGAACATACCAAGGCTGGAGATGGAGCAGTAGTCAGAACACAATGATAAGGATGAACTGGACAAGAGCATCCGTTCTGTGCACTGAAGGACAAGGATGGATCTTGCAAATATTATGCAGGTAACATTTTCAGGCTTTAAACTGTGTCACTTCTCTAGTTCCCAGATGTCTACCTGAATGAGAAGTAACTTTTCAGTTAAAGATATGATGGCAGAAAATGTTTTCTAGAAATGGAGAAAAGGGTTTAGTGTAGAATTTTGCATTTAGTCAGTGTGGAACCATATGCCTAAGTACCTCTGTGGAGGCGTCAGGTCTGTTCAGATCCTAGGAAGGACAGAAAAAAGTGGGAATGAGTGAGGAAAAATGTTCAACCCAAAGTTCGTGGGAGAATTGTTTTGGAAATTGGATCAATTACCTGTAGGTAACTATAAGAAGAAAAGGGGAAAGAATCCTTTGAAGTTGATGAAGACAGTTGAAAGGGGAATGACCATCTTTTGAAAAAGACTGTACAGGGCAATTAGAAAGACAAAAAGATGAATAGAAGCGGAAGCTGTGCATAAGTGTGAGAATGAAGTTGGAATTCATTGTTACTGATATCTCCATCTTTCAGCAGTTATGAAGTAGAATTTTGTACTGTCATTTCACTTGAACTTCTATGGTTTTTATCCTGTCAAGAATGCATTGAGTGTAGGTTTTTTTTGTTGTTGTTGTTTTGTTGTTGTTTTTTTTTTAAAAAAAGTTCCTGTTATATATTTCTGTTTCTGCTATTGTTTTGGGGTTGTTCTTGACATACATTGAAACTTTGGTCTTTCATTTGGGGCATAATAGTGGTTTGGCCATGACCTTTAGAAGTGCAGAACTGAAAGCTAGCTCATCTGTATTGTTTTTAGTTGGTCGGTGGGTTTTTTCTTTCCCCAGATTTCTGCAGTGATTCCATATACGTGAGATCAAGTTGTTCTGATTCTTGTTCATACCAACATAGTTCGCTTTGCATCTGTGTGCATTGTATGCACGTACGTACATGTGTTCAAATTCCCAAGTCCTAGAAACACAAGAACTTAGATTGTATTTAATTAAAATGAAAATTTATTATTAATGAAGTCTTTAAATGGGCTATGACATGCTTATTAAAAAGCTGTTGAAGGATTGTTTAAAAAAAAATAAATATCAATTCAGTTTTTACCTTTTCCTGCTTTTTGTTTTCTGTTTGTGGTAATGAGCTTGGCTGGTATTTATGCTCACATGCCCCAGAGTTGCAGAGAAGTGCCCGCTGGCACCTCGGTGTGCTTCATCTTCCCAGTCTTGTGTCATCGTGTGGAAGGGAAGTCGCTGGGATGAATGCTTTCAGGAGAGACAGCACAAGTGAATAATGGTTGAAGCATCGTTTCTGTGTGTGTTTGTTAACTCTAGTATTTCGAACTAGAAGAAACAGCTGTGTTCTGCAATCTCAAGAGCTGCAAAATCACAACAGTAAGATTTCAAAGCTTTTTAACTTCCTTAACATACCATGGTCATTTTGCATTGGTAACGCTACTTACACTTGGCTACCCTACTTTTAAATGCTTTCTGCCAGAAGATTGCTGCAGTCTGACTGCCTATCAATATTAAAATCTGGCTCATTGATTACTTAGTTTAAGCCACTGTGACTTTTCTCAAAGGTAAATGTAAGAGCAAATGAGTAAAAGAGTAATGTAAATGTAATTTTACTTTTAACTGGAAATCTGGTTTTTAACCAAGACCACTTTTGTCATCTTTTTCAGAAGACCATCTGCAACTGTAATCTTTCTGTCTTAACTAGGACTATTTTTTAAAAACACTGTCAAAATTACTTGTTTCATAGTAATTAAGTGAACAGTAAATTCTTCATCTATCTCAAGCATTTAGTTGCATTTAGGTTTTTTTTAACTATGGCAGCTGCTAATATTAATAGAAGCTGAAGGTCTCACTGCCTGTGTAAGTGGAAGCCATTCAGTTCTGGGTGTATCTAATGAACTGCAGGAGCAATACGGGATACCACTATTTATCAAGGAACAAACTTAGAAAGTTAAGACATACAACATGCCTTTAGTACCTTCAAAACTAAGTGTTTCTGTTGCTTAGAGGTTTGTGTCAAATTTTGATCTGGTATTTGCATTGATGAAGTTGATTTTGGGTTATGCTGATGAAAAAAAGAATTTGAACAGTGCCTTATTTATCCGTATGAAGGTTAAAATGACCTGTAAAACAGCATGATGATTGATTCTAACAGCTGATGAAATCAACTGCCTGCTGCTTGTACTTAACCAAGAAGTAAATGAGGAAAAGAAAGGGCGCTGCTAGTTCTAAATGCTAGTCAAGAATATTTGTTTTCAGCTATGCAAGACTGTGATCTGGAGTATCTTTTCAACTTGTGGCCACCTCATCTTGGAAGGACAGCAGCCTAGAACAAGTGCAAAGAGAAGTAAAATTATTTTTGGGTTAGAGCAAGGGCTTAGTTTAAGGGAAACGAAAAGAAAAATACCTAACTGGCCTGGAGAAAAATAATGTTACTGACAGTTAAAAGAAAAAATAAATCATGAAGGTTGTGGATAAAATGAATACACAACTGTTACTGATCCAGTCTTACAGCACATACAGTGAAGCTAGTAGACTATTTAAAATGGGATCTAGATGATCAGATGACAGGTAGTGCTAGGCTTGCATATGCTGTACAACAGCACCTTCTGTTTTTGAAACAGGAGACTGAGCTAGATAAAACACTTCCTCTGAACAAGTGGGGTTCTTCAGAGTCCTTATGGTCCCCTCTCTGAATGTCTTTTTGGCTACTGGAACAGGTAACAAGGAGAGGCTGTGGATACCTCATCCCATTCAAGGTAGAACAGGGACAGTCTGATCTGCTGGGTGGCAGCCCTGCTCATGGCAGGGGCTTGGAACTAGATGGTCTTCAAAGTCCCTCTCTATCTAAGGCATTCTGTGACTAAGAAATGCAGAAGCTGTGTTATGAAAAGCAAGGTTCTTCTTAGAAAAGCTAAGTTTTTTGGCTTAGGACATTTGATCTTTTGCAGCTTACTTTCTTGTAAGATGAAGAACACAAACAGGTTTAAATGGCATTTATTGAAAATCTCAGGGGTTTGCATAATTTTATTCAACATCCACAAATCTTAAAATGTTTAATTTTGAATA